TGAGATTTTTTCCAGTCATGGAAGCTGCGCCATCAGTTGTTACCCCCACACAATTGTACCAACGCAGTCCCACAGAGTCCAAAAACAAATCAATAGCGTTGAAAATGTTCTCTGCCTTTGTAGACGTGGGGAGGTCTTGGCTGCATAGAAACTGCTCCTGTATGTCTCCATCCCACGTGTGTAACGTAAACAAATGAAATGGCATGATTAGCAATATCTGTTGACTCATCCATCTGCAATGCATAGTAAGCGCAGGCCTGAATCCGCGCTGAGGTCTGTTTTATTTTGGCTGACATGTCAATGTGCCGCATTATGGTGTCATTAGATAGCGGTATGGTCTTCAACTTGTCCACTGCTGACTGGCCTAATACCTCTCTGACCATGTCCAGGGCTGCAGGTAAGATGAGCTCCACTGCTATTGTATGTGGCCTCTTGGCTGTTGCTATATGTTGAGCTACGAGATATGAGGCCCACAGTGCCTGCTCTGATTTGGAACACGAGGACAGCAGTGTCTTCTGGGTGGTCCTGAGGTCCCGAAGTACTTTGAAAGTATTTGACTGGTTTGTCTTCGTATGCAGCATGTTTAGTTTCTAAATAATAATCATAGTAAACTTTATTTCTATAGCACTCAACAACTCATAGGAGCCCAGAGTGCTGTACAACAGAACAAAACTACAGACAGGTAAAATCCTAAGTCAAAATAAGACTGCAAACATAAAAACAACAGATAAATAGGAACCAGAGGAAACCCGAAGCAAATTTAAAAAAATAAAATAAAAACAACAATACATATAAACATACCCTTAAATGAAGAGAGGCAATTTATGCCTCAAAAGCCTGCCTAAAGAAAAAGGTTTATAAAGCCAACTTAAAAACCGCTAGTTTCGTCTTCGATCACACCTCTAGGGGAAGGGAATTCCAAAGTCTTGGGCCAAATGTAGCAAAGGATCGATCACCCCATTTTTTATACTGCGATCGCGGGACAACTAGTGTTCTGAAGAGCGCAAGGCTCTTCGTGGCACGTAAATTGATAGCATGTGTGATGCCCACCAATGTGTGCCCACATTTGTATGAATGTGTATTTTATATAAAACATGTAACAGTTATTCTATCTTCTCTTGAAGAGATGTTTGGTACAGTTGAAATGCCAATATACGGTATTGTATCCGTAGTCGCACCATTTTTGACAGTAGGTGGCAGTGTGGGTTTGTTGTTTACTCCAGGGACTGTAGACGGGAGCACCGGCACCGCTATTACCTCATAATGGCGGAGAACACCGAAAAGAGGAAACATGTCTTCCTGTCTCATCATTTCTTTCCTGTATTACAGGTTAGTTTTGAGCAAGTAAACCCCACAAAAGTGCTAGAGTCAATAAGCAAATGTTATGATTCAAGGGTTAGTGGTAGAGTGAAACTAGGGGAAAATGGTTCTGTGTTGTTGCAATCGTTTCTTTTTACCATGCTAACTCTGAGAGACGAAGCAGTCCAAGTAGCTTCAAAACAGTGCTGATTTATTCAATGAACACAGGTAAAAATTAACATTTCACGCTCAGGTATCTTGCACCTCCAACGTGCACGCAGGCAGATGTAAGATGAAAGACCCTGAACCCACCAGGCCTATACATTATATCCCTTCAGGCTAATCCCATTCTACCAGGAGAGACGCCAGACCGTGACGTCTCCCGGTGCTGGCTTTGCAGCTGGACACAGCAGTAGTCAAAGCATGAAGAAAATCAATGTGTGATTGTCTGTTGATTATGTGGTGTGTAGCTAAAACATTCTAACACGACCTCTAGTGACATGTCATGACATTAAACATAAGAAAATATGGCTATGGCTACAGTTATACACGTAATAATAATAATAATATTAAACATCCTGTCTCCTGACATCCCTTTCTATCTAGTTATCCTTGACCATAAGCATCCTGCAGCACTCATGAGAATGACTAAGCATTTAACAGCCATGAGCCAGACACCCTGTCTACTCTAAACATTTCTAATACATAAAGTATCTAACCAATATCTATCTGACTAAAAATACCTAACAGTGTATTCGTGGAAAGTAAGCTAATGCCCACCGAGAGCGATAGTAATGGCGGTGGTACACTCGATCATTCTCTTAAGTAACATGCTAGCTACAAGATACTAAGTGGGCCACACGTCTCCTCTTAAGTTCACAGGTCATCTGGCTCCATGTTTAGCCTGTTCTGTTAACTTGCTAGAAGGTGTTTTTTTTTCTTCAATGATTTGGTTACTGACACAATTGCTTATAAGTCCAAGTCTTGCTAGATAGTAAATTTATGTTAGTGCATTGAGAGTGCTGTTATAGTCGGACTATACTCGAAGAGTTAACTGTAGAGAAACAGTTTTGGACCAACTAGTGACATGAAGTTGTACTGTTTGTATTGACTTGTGTGGCTATGTAAAGCCAAGAAACCTGTATAAAGATACAGCTAAAGTACAGTAGTTATGATACTGGAAAAAGGGACAATGCACCATGTTCAGTGAACTGATGATGTTTGTGAGAACACCGAAAAGAAGAAACACGTCTCCCTGTCTCATCATTTCTTTCCTGTATTACAGGATACTTGTAACTGTTAACGTGTGCTACAGGCCGGTACCCATAACACATGTCAGACAAATAAGGCAGAGCCAGGCCGTGGATGGCCTTAAAAACAAATACCAGAGTCTTAAACTGAACTCTATACTCAATGGGAAGCCAATGAGGTAAAGCCGGCTGCAAGCTCAGCTTCTCTATTGTGTGGCACAAGGTCACATTTTACACAGAAGTCAACACTCGATATGTGCAACAAAACCAACAGTAATAGAGAGAGTAATTAATCAAACACTTGTTGAACAAAGAGAACAACAAACTTGCAGAAATGCAACGTCTTCACTGTCCCTGTGGTAAAAATGCCTGGTCCCGTTCATTCTGCTAAAACCACCACAGTGCTCATTAGTAGCGAGCTGGTGTGAATGGGAATAAAACAAATGCTAACTTTATGTATTTAACAACATATGAATTCTGTGTATGAGAATGGCTGATCTGCAGTAGAGGAGGTGTGTGTCCAGCAGAGAGGACAGGATGGAGTCAGAGACAGTTGCCAGTTTAACACTTAAATTTCTGACTGTGATAATATGTGCTCCTAAACTATAACGTTCTGGTCAGGGGGTTGTGAAATTGTTACATCCTAATACAGGGTCACACTCCTAAAAAAGTTTAAATCCACTGTATGCCTGTATGTTGAGTAGCAGGCTATAGAAATTCAGTCACGTTAGTCAATAGGAATGGTGGCAGTGCAGTGTTGGTTATCACAGAAAGTTTTCAGGTAATCTGCACAGCCTCTTGTTGCATAGGATATTCTATTTACCCACAATCAGAAAATAAGTCACATGAAATTAAAAACTGTCTCTAAAGTTACTGCAGTTTATAGTAGATACACTGCATCATTAAGTACTCGGTATGGGCAAGTACTCAAATGCAAGTACTCATACTTTGTCTGAAAAAAGTGGTATTGGTGCATCTCTAATTTCAACACAGTGTGCATGTGTCCCTAAGGTCTTCATTGACTCAATGTGTTGTGCGCAGCATCACAGCACATCAATAATGGAGGCTCTAGTAGCAGACACACACAAAATA